TTTTCAGATTGCATGGTCCACTGACACTAATCTTCCGAGATGCCGAAGTTTAAGAAATCAGAGTCAGCTTGAAACAACACAAATTCCTGGTTCAAGGTGGTTTTTTTTCCCCTCCTATGTATCTTTGTAACAGCTTCTGGGATGGCAGAGAGGGTGAGGCTAACCAGTTCTTTCTCAAGCAAGTTGATGAAGGGTTTGTTGGTTTTGCCAAATGAAACACTGCTTATTCCTTTCTGTTCTCATGGTCAGCACTAGGCAAATGAAAGGCCCGCTTCTGATGGAGACTAAACAGCAGATGTAGCAAGAGTTGAGATTTTCAGTATAGGAAATGTAAATTGCTGTCCTGGTTTCGGCTGGGATAGAGTTAATTTTCTTCCTAGGAGCAGGCACAGTGCTGTGTTTTGGATTTAGTAGGAGAAGAATGTTGATAACACACTGATGGTTTAGTTGTTGCTAAGTACTGCTTATGCTAGTCAAGGACTTTGCAGCTTCCCAGGCTCTGCCAGGTGCACAAGAAACTGGGAGGGGGCACAGCCAGAAGAGTTGATCCAAACTGACCAAAGGGCTATTCCATACCATATGATGTCATGCTCAGTATGTAAACTGGGGGGGTTGGCCAGGGAGCAGTGATCACTGCCCGGGAGCTGTCTGGGTATCAGTCGGCGGGTGGTGAGCAATTGCATTGTGCATCACTTGCTTTGTATATTGTTATTATTATCATTATTATACTGTTACTATTAGCATTACTATTTTACTTTATTTCAATTATTAAACTGTTCTTATCTCAAGCCAGGAGTGTTTCTCACTCTTACTCCTCCGATTCTCTCCCCCATCCCATCGGGGCAGGGGGAGTGAGCGAGCATCTGCGTGGTGCTTAGTTGCTGGCTGGGGCTAAACCACGACAATTGCTAAGTCCAGTTGGAAAAATAGAGGCTATACTCCAGAAGATCCTGTGGAATTCAGTCCAAACTAGGTATCTATGATGACTCTTTGAGCTGAAGCTTGCAAGTGATGCAGACGGGAGGTCGCAGGGCAGTAAGGAGGCAAAGCGTGCTGGATAGCCGCTGCTGGCTGGCCACGAGCCAGGCATTGAGCGTTACGCAGCACTGAGCTGGAGCTGTGCCCGGCCTGGTGTTCTGAACGGAGCGAAGAGCGTAGCTGTCCTGCAGAGTCTGTGCTCAAGGGGTTTTGCTCCAGCGGCCAGGTGGTTAGCTGGACCAGAGCATGCAAATGAACCATGGCAATGAAACATCTACCTGGCTTTAGGCTGCTCAACACAGAGTAACCTGTGGCTAGAGACTGCTAGAGGCAATTAATGCCTAATAAAAATGTTCAGAGTGAACTTTTCAAAGTCCAAAATAAGAGTAAGATAGCTCATAAATCTTTGCAGGCAGGCAAGACTCCATTAGTGGAGGAACAGAAGGAGGACAAATCATCATAAAGGCAACCATCAGAGAGCCCTTTCTTAAGTTAATATCGTAAGTTAATAAGGATTGTGGAGCTGTGGATGACTAAGGAGAACGTTAGGGGCCAGAAACTGAGATGCCGGTACATACTATACCCAAAACAGCTTGCAAGAAGTTTTATGGGTACCACGTGGCAAGAAGGACAGAGTACTGCCAAACAGAAAGCTGGGAGGAGAAGGGGAGAAGCTATCCTATTCTTTAAACTGAACATAAGCAGATGTGAGCCAGAATTTCCCAGTGTTGAAGTGTTTGTCTTTTGAATCTAAAGTATTTTCTTCCTTTTGATGCAGGCGTGAGGGTGGGCGTTAGGATAAAAAAAAAAAAAAAAAAAGACAATACAGGATTTTTGGGGACCTGATATTAAAAGGAGCAGTAAGAAATAGGAGAATTGCCTAAAGGAAAAACTTGAGCAAACCGGTTAGTTCCAGATACCCTTAAGAAGAAGCAGTGGTATTTAACACAGATGGATGAAAACATGGGAGACATCACAGTTCCCCCTCTGTGCTAAGAGGAAATTCTTAAATGCATCTGTAACCACTGAAAAGGTGCATGGACCCCGACAGGTACAGAACCAAACCTCCCCTAGTGTAAGAGGGGAACCAGTCAGAGGCTTTCGTTGGGCATCTGGGAAAGTTGGGCTCTTTCGGGCTTTCTTTCTCAACTCCTATGGCTAGATCTGTTCACTCAGACGGTTTTACACAGGGCTATCAGGAAAGCCTGATCAGTCTGCAAGAGGCAAGGTGGGGAAGATGCTGTGCTGGTACTGGATATCCTCCCAAGGTCCCTTCCCACCTGCATTTTTTTAGATCTTATGGTATTGCAAAACAGTGAGGTGTAATGTAAAGAGGACTGGCATTACTAGTAAATGATCATGTTTCACTTCCTCAACATGAGATTTGTCTTCTGATTTAAAAAATGGAAAATCTGACGTTTAAAAGCAGACAAATTAGAGAATTATCCGCCTTAATGCTTCTGGCGCGGAGGTGTGGATGCTGGAGCTGACAATTACTGGAGCGTAACGCCGTATCAAAAGGGAACATATACTCGTGCTGAATCTACGTATCAGCAACACCTACAGCACCTGCCCCAGCAGCGACAGGAGCAAAGCAGAGCAGGCTTCTTCAGCTCTGCTGGTAAGAGATAAACCGTCTGTGCTGCTGCCCATGTTGTAATTCAGTTAGCCCTATGGCTCCGGGGAAAAAAGACGCCAGGACAGAAAGTCACCTCTCGCAGAACACGGTCAGCAGCAGGTGAGGATGAGCAGGAAAGGGCACGGCGTGGAACTGGAAGAGCTGTGCGGGGTCCAGCACGGTCTCCACAATGCAGCCAAGAGGCACTGAGCCACCGGTCGCATACGCCCACAGAAAGTGGTGTCGGCTGCCTTTCTTATGTCCCGAGAGAATCACGATTGCTATGTTATTATGCGCCAAGAACTACTGTACAGTATCTTCCAGCAGCATGTGATGATTTGCCCAATTAACTCCAAAACAGCCCCACCCCCAAATCACTGTAATCTTTTAACTTCCAAAGCCATCTCAAGCCTAATGAAGATGAGAATGTGAGACGGTCGCCAAGTAGCTTACCACAGTTAACCTTATCAGAAGTGAGGAAGTTTTTAAGTTATTCTTGAACTCTTAAAATAGATCACAGATACTGATAAAACCAGCATAAGCTGCAATACATTCAATGGAATTTTATATTCAGGAAGATTTTCTTCTGCATTAACCACATATAGAACCGCATTTTTGTTTTAAGCTGATGTCATTTCCACAACTAGGAAGTTAAAACTTTTCATTTACTATCTCCAAAGTTACACTGCTCACATAGTTTTTTGCCATCTTTCCAACAACAAAAGGTAACTCTCTATCCCATATGCCAAGTCTTTTATTTGGAAACAGAATGCATAAAACAATGACTTGAACAGGAAAGTCTCGCTCATTTTAAAGACTTAAAATGTTCTAATTTTATATTCTTTATGACTACTGTATATGATATTATGAGGTCATTGTCATCAGAAATGCAAGACAGAAGACCAATAAACTCACAGTACGTAAAGGTGCAAGACTGATTTTTCAACAGCTACATACAAAAATGAGCGATGAAACATGAGAAATACCCGAATATGGTATTCTGGACTTTCAGAAGCTTTTCTAGAAGAACCAATAACTTGATTGTTTTGAAATGGCACAAAAAGAGAATCTGCTGTATGCATTATTTATGTCAAGGAAAATTTTCACACTTACATTTAACTATTATTATGAAATAGGAGTCCCAAATTAGTTTGCTAACAGCAAAGAGCTCCTTGCAAACAAATCCAAAACAGGTACAAGATGACTCTTTTCCATTGCCAGCAGCATGTAAGGAGGACGTCAGTATAAGAAAGACTGTAGTTTCTGACAAAAGAAGTTAGGCACATTTCTGGATCTCTCTGGGACCCAAGTATTTCCATGTTCAGACTTCTGCAGTATCAGAATTGGATAAAATCCACTTCATAAAGTAGTTACAGGCTATAGGAGTAGATCTGTGTTCTTCAAGGTTATTAAATTAATATTTTCAATCAATGACAAATTGCAGTTTAAGAGCCTTGCACAAACAGCATGCAATTTAATAAAGAAACTTAACAATCATTAAGGTTAATTTGTAAACTTACTGACCAAAGCAAAACTAGAAGTGGAAACTAGAATTCTGCCTTTTGGATTTTCTTTTAATTGAATTTTATTTTGCTGCTGAAAGGAATACAGTCTATATTTCACTTACTAAGAAATTAGCTTTTAAAAATCTAGAACAATGGTTTCTAGATATAGCTGTGAAGCTTGTATTTTGGTATAATAATTCAACCTGATTATTTTTACTAATTTGAAAGAAACAGATCAAAATACCTCCCTTGATGAACTGTTCCCATGGAATATGGATTTTATATTGTGTGAAAGGAAGATACCTGTTCTTCACCAGGCTGGTTTTTTTTTTCCCTCTGTATCCAGGTAGTTTGTTGAACCTGGATTGTATTTGAGCAAAATCATTCCACTTGAATGATGTGTGTTTTATCTTATAAATAGAAGGGAGTAGGGAGGGAGAGGGGAAAGACCAAGGAATTACTCCCTTTGAAACATGAGAGAATTGGCCTAGTAGGTCACTGGGGTACCACATGATGAAGAATTTAAGATGTGTTAAGAGACTTTTCTAGCACATAACAATGATTTGCATTATATGAATACCTGCTATGCCAAGAAATCAGAAGGTTTGTCAACAATGCAGAAGGATTTATATAAACTTGGATACCTATTGAAGAAATCATGTTACAGTTTTTTCACATCTTCGTTCAGTTTACAGACAACTGAAACCCTCTACCACGTTGTGGGCTAAGAACATGGCAGAACGTTAATTTTAACAACCCCATCTCTCTCATCCTGTTATTTCCAACAAAATTTTTTTTAAGCTATGAACTTAAATGCCCACATACAACTTTAATCGTGATTTCTAGAATCTGCATTATCTCCATTATCAAACAAGACTGATTTGTAATTAGCATATAACCCAATATTATACATTTTATTTTTGACAGCCTCCAGTTTGGCAACAGTGCTTGATTCTGCTGTAACACACTGGCTTCTTTTTTCACTTTTCATAGCCTACTGGCACGGGCACCAGACTTCCAGTTAGCGAGTTGTCTTAGAAACGTAGATTTGGATATTAATTACAATGGTCAGGACACTTAGGTTTTCACCAAAGAGAAGTTTAAATGCAGGAAGTTTATTTAATGACATCTGGCAGACTGTGGACCTTGTGAGGACAAAAGAGGATCTTGAAATAGGAGGATATAAAAACTAGATTTTGGCAATATAGAAGATCTATTGTCCATGTAGTTCTGTCATAAGCTTTAAAAATACTCTTATTAAATAAGTTTTTCCTTCCTTAAGACCAGATAATACATGAAGCCAGTAAGAGTCCAGGGGTCAGAATCTTCTTCAGTTCTTAGTTATTCTCTATGAGCTTTTTTTTTTGGCTTTTCTTCATAAGATTCTCCATACTCATTCACTCTGCTCTTATCCACAGGATAAAGCCTGGTAGAAAACACAAATGGTTAGTTACAATATTGTCTGCTACCTGGAGGAATGAAGCAGTTCTGTGCTACTTAATTTTAAAAGTGAATTTCTTTCTCATCATATTCTCTATTCCCATTTGTGGCCAAAAATACAACATTTTAAAAGATTACATTGGCTTCTTCACATTAAGACTTAACCAGGTGTCTCATAACAGGGCCTCTAAAGAGATGTATTGGCTCCCCTAAAGCTTGGCTGGAGCATTTCTCAAGCAATCCAGGATACCTCTCAAACTTGAAACCAGTGTTCAGCCCCTATCAGAAGTTGTTGAGCTATGATTCTAGAAAAATACCTTGGAAGGGGACCTATTTTACTACACTTAGGTGCAATTATATAAACCTAAAACTGAAGTTTGCATTTAGTACTGATGATTAGATGTACACATCCATACATTCTGGTATAATGTGAACTAGGCTTAAAATTCTTGTTTGCTCCACATCTAAATATTTATTCTTGGGAAGAAGAGTACACTTTCTGTAGCTTCACTTATGAACAATGTTTCAATGATTACTGCATATAGCCTTCTTCCCCATCTGATTTTAGTTACTTAAAGAATCTGACACTCGCCAGATACTCAACTTACAAGAGAACCTGATAACTTGTGTTTGGAAACTAGATAAAGAGGAAAGCAGAGCAGGGCAATCCCTCATCAGAAAACACCCTTCGCTAGTGGCTGGCAGAGCAACTTGGAAAGCACGCCTCAAATACTGAGCATACACAGGCACATAGCCCCTCAAGCAAGGGTTAGAAGCCCAGAACTGCTAAGATGCTTTTGTGAATACAAGCTTAAGAACTGGAGGAATTTCTTGACTACTCTCTCAGTATGCTAAAAAGGGTCCAGGAATACTGTCAGTTATGGGAAAGCGCTTTTGCTCCTCTTACTTGTATTGAGATCTCCTTTTCAGGATCCCCTGCTCAACATTCCCTTCACTAGGCATATATGCAACTACCATTATCCAGACCATACTATATATTACTATGGTATAAAAATTCTGCTTGAAGTCTATCCCAAACTATTTCACAGTTCTTTCTAGCAATAAGACTACAACCATCTACGGCGTCATAAAAACTCTGATGATTATTAAAGAAAGGCATACCATCTTTGGTAAAGATAGACCAGGAACACGACATCATCTCTAAAGCACGCCAGCCTATGAGATGTTGGCATAGTGATGATAAAAGCAAATATATCATCAATAAAGGTGTTGAATGCCTACAAATAAAAGAAAAGTGTACTTCAGTTGGCTGTGAAGAAAGGAAGTCATCTGTCATACAAAGCTACAGGAAACAGGCTTCCTAGAACTATATTTTTCAGTAGAAACACAGACTACTTCCATTATTTCTAACAATACTGAAGGGTTATGCTGAAAAATTAATTAATGCAAACTTTAAAGTGCTTTCTTTTAATGAAGACCATGCTGTCTACTCCAGACCACACAATTACAGTTACGAGTAAAAAGGAAGTAGGACTACTTCAGGTACATGAGAGTATTGTCATGCGAGGGGAAAAACATGGATTCAACTTCAGTGAAATCTTTAAAAGAAACAGGCAAAAAACTTTTATTCATTCATTACTCAAATGATTTAAGATTTACAAAATGTCTGTTCACTTTCATTTTCTGTGGACATTTGAAATTCGTGTAAAAACTTGTTAATTTACTGCTCTTAAGAACATTAAGTTGACAGCCTTGGAGAGATTTTAAAATACTTGCAGTGCTCTCCTGGAAGTAATCATCCAACCCTTACCAAAGACATAATTTTCTACACCATTTCCACTCAGCTAGGCATACTACAGGTTCTGTTTCTGAAGGAATAATGAAATATTTTCTCACTACTCCTTCCTGAGTAAGAAAGTTTAAATTCCCAGACATCTGCTGGGAAAGCAACGCAAATAGGCTTTGAGCATGCAAAGACAACAATACTTTATCAGAGAAGGTAAAGAAAGTAAACAGAAGGGCAACTCCTCTGGATCTGGCTCTAGCCCACAGGGAGGACTAGAAATCAACTCTTAGAGTGCACCAGCTCTAGTACTCATCATATGGTGCAATAAACTGTTTCAACTCACTAAAAACAGCAGGAAACAAATCCAGCAAAGAATATTCACTGTTGGGTTAACAAGTTGAGTCAGTAACATGGCTCCTCCTTTCAATATTAGCAAGCTGTACATTAATCCATACCATAAGAAGGGGAAAAAGACGAATTCTCTAAGCAGAGAAGGACTCACTCTTCAAAATGAACCAATGTTTATATGATGAAACAAAGCATCAGCAGAAGATGTTTTGTTGGACAGGAGAGAGTTCTGATTAGTTACAACAGGAAAGCTCTTTCTGGCCAGTTAAAACAAATCCATCAATCCAAAGTGATCAGAGAATATGGACGGCACTTCTCAAGCCTGTGCAAAGAAGGTTTGTCATGGAACAAAAAAACCTTGGCAAGTTGGAAATGGAGACCTTTCCAAGTCAACACCCAAGTGAGTGATCCTACAATGACGAAAGGAAGAAAAAGCTAAATGCTCCATCCTTCAGGTACTTGGGCAGTCTTCATAAGCCACTGAAACTGAATGCACCAAGGCAGCCCATCTAACAGTATTTAGCCTAGCTAGTTTTCTTTTGAGATTACCTAATAAAAGTAACTCATGAAAGTACTCCTCATAAAAGTATAAAGAGCATAAACATAAAGACTATAGAAACTGGAAAGTTAGACTGATCTTCATTTTTGCCAAGGAAAACAGGAAAGAGTCCAAATTAAGGAAAAACCCAAAGATCTCTAAAACAACAACTGCAGATGAAACCTCGGACTAGTCTTTCCACTCTTCAAAGTGCCGAAGAGAGCAAGCAACTTTAAATGTCCCCTAGGAAAAAGTAAATTACCCCCTCCAAAGACCAGTAAGTTAAACATAATTGAAAACATAGAATCATAGAATCATTTAGGTTGGAAAAGACCTTTAAGATCATCCAGTCCAACCATTAACCTACGCAACACCATATACTTCTTTCTACATATACACAAGCCTTTGTTGTGGGTAGCCTCTGGCATCTTAACAGGAACCATATATAAATGCTCTGTAAGAAAAGGCTATTCAGCAAGAGAATTCTACTGCTTTAAAGGTTACTTGCTTGAATGCTGTCCCTTTGTCATCTACTTAACTGCTGATGTCTCTGCTTAGTTACTGTATTTTGTTGAAGTAAAAATGTGAAATTACTTCATTAATATACCTTTTAATCCCGTCTATTAAGAAACGTGCTGATTTGCCTAGTATATGTCTGAAACACGTCTGAAACACTAGATGTTTGTTTTTATTTTTTTACTGTATTTCCATATCGAACACTGTTCAGTTGCTATCCTGCTATCAGCTATATTTCAATCTGTTTCCCTAGATGCCCCATGATTCCTTAAAAATATTAAGGTGGCAGAAAGTTGGGCTATTGCTGTAGGCTCACAGAAATGGAAAAGCTATGAAAGGCAGTTCAAATTTTAAGATTTTAGTTCTTTTGTCCCAAACCATCTGTTGAGAATTGGACACCATGTCTTGAGCAGTTTTTAACACTGTTTCTTTTAAAGTACTGATGTTCTGGAGAATTGTAATACAATGGCACAAAGGAAGAATAAATGAAAGCATTTATGAGTGGAAGCAGAAGAAAACATGGCACATGTTGATGGCATCAAGGTCTTGATGATCCCAGCACATCCATCTAGGGTTTCTCAGGACACAATGATCAGGAAAACAAATGACAGTACAAAAATCCTAATGACTCACAGAGGCGGGAAAGGATGAAGTCAAAATACTATAAGCTCTAGCATGTAGCTGTCGATTGAGGAAGAACATAGGAGACATAGGAACTCAACAGTGGGTGTCCCTTGTCCTCCGTATCAGGGCAAGGAATCCTGACTGGCATACTCAGGTACATCCATCTTGGTGGCTGAATACTACACAAACCACTCAGACACACATGTGGGTGCTTGTGTGTATGCAGGTATCAAAGTGTTAGTAAGTTGAGTTTGGTTTGAAATAAACTCACCTTCCCCTCTTCCAAGGTCTGGTGTTAAGCTTTGCTACAGCATCGCATTATTTCCTAAAAGGGCAGTCTAGGTAGTGGGGACACCACAGTGCAACCCCTTTTCCACCGTGTAACAGCCCACCACACATTTGTCACTACACAGCCCAGAAGCTCACAATTACCACCCCAGCACAAAACAGCGTGTACATTACTTGAGTCTCTGGAAGCTCCTGGAACCTGCCAAAATAAGGTCTCTTAGTGGTCCTATCTGTTTCTTGAGAAGTATCCTTTGTTAATATAATCTCTCACTTCCTAAAATAATGTATTAAATTGAGACTGATTAGTTTATCTGCAGGACCAACATTTGCACCCACACAAGACAGCTGATAGTAGAAAAAAAGTATTATCATCAAAACTAGGATGCAGGTATTCTCATTATATGGAAGTCATTATGAAAAATGGAAATCAGTGGGTTTTTTTTTTTTAAGACATTTGCAAACAGATTTGGTTTTACTGTCAGTTTAGTTCTTAAAACAAACAAAGCACTATCAGTGTTAAGCTACATAATAGTAAGCTGTTTCTCACAGAAAATTATTTCCAAAATGACTGCACCAATCTTTAAATTAGAGCTTTACTTACTTTGTATGTGAAAGCCTTCCATGGTAAGTGTGCAACAGATTTCATCTAGGATTAAAAATATCAATTTGTAATAAATTCTGGAAGAAGAGACTAAAAAAGTAATCTTTTATCACTTTTCAATCTTACCTTGTAGTTTACAAACAGCTGGGGCAGCATAAACAGAAATCCAAAAGCATACACTCCTGAAGATAAAAGATGGAACACTTACAACAAATGCACAATAGAAGTACACCACACAACTATACTTTCACAATTAGAGATTTACACTCATTTTCCTAAAGAGGGAAGATGCAGCTAATCCTTTTGTTTCACTCTGGGTTGATTCTTCTCCCTCTCTCAATCGCTCTGGTAATTTTGGAACCTATGGTCAAGTTACTGCTCTATATTACACTGATCCAGCTGACTTTTGAGTCTTGTCCTCCATTTGAAGAAATATGAATAGAAAAAAAACATCTAAGAAGGGACTCACCATTGACAAAGCTGTTAATCAACCAGGAGTACCAGCTACAAATAAAGAAGACAGTCCAGTTATTTTTTCACCTCAGCCAAAAATATATACCTGTAATACATCCTCTACATGACTGTATGCCGACTACTCTAAGAAATGGCTTACGTTGTGAATTACTTTACACAAGAACTAAATACCTTGCATCTTCCTTTGATTAGGAAGGGCTCCAGAGAAGGTGCTAACAGTTTAAACAAAGGATATCTATCAGTACATCCAACAAGTTTGGAGAGCTTTATGAACTGCTTTTATATTTTTTCAGGATGTTCTAAGACTTCTGCACCCAAAATGACATCAGATAATACTGGGCACTGAACCCTGACTGTATTAAGGCTCGCAAAGGTAACGCTGTATTCTAAATACTAGAGAGACACCTAATATGGCACTCTAAGGACTTATCAAATTTCAAACAACAAATACCATTCAGTGCAAACCACTAAGTAGGCACTTAAAAACCCAACAGGTAAAACCAAGAAATCTACATTTTTCCTTCCTTACATCTGAAAACACCTCCCAGATGTTCAAGGGAGCACAATTTTAGCAACGTAACAGTAGTGTTACAGATAGTGGTCAAATTCCACACTTCTGCTTGCGGTAGTAAGAACAGCTAGTAATTGTGATGCTCAGGTTACATCATTTAAAATTAAACTTGCAAGGCTGTGTTAGTGACTTGTTAATAGCAATGTTACAGCTGTAGCAGCATTTCACTAATCCACAAGCATCTAAAAAATGCATCAGAAAATGCCTGCAAGATTAAAGGATTATCCACTGTTAAAATTACTTGTTCCATCACATTTCCTTAAAAATGATAAAAATTCTATGATATCAGTTGTTTTCACTTTCTTAACCTACAGCTCACAACACCTGGCATATAGTATTTTGCAGTACCAAATGAATTTAAGAATTTTGTGAGCAAAGCAGAATTTTTAAGTGCTGCATATTTGTTAACTCCTTACTAAGACAAGAATCTTTTGAAAAAATTATTTTTCTAATAGCCAAGAAACTGCCCCAGTTTCTAGTGCAAGTGCTACAGCCCATGTATGCAGCAACAGTAGCTCTTTCTGATGTTACTTTAAGCTACTGCCTGCTCTCCCTCCCACCCTTTGGGGCCTAAAGACTATTAAAAAATATGTCTACATGGCCATCACCACGCTTGCGTTTGCAGATTTTTTCTACAACACAGTCTCGTGGCTGCGTACTTGCTTGCACCTCTCCAATACAAAATGAACTAGCTGTATTATTTTGAGTGAAAGTGGACAGGAGCTTCACCATTTCATGAAATACTGAGTCTTCAGCTCTTGCTGAAGTGTCAATATGTTGCTGTAAGCCCACGGCTGTAAAGGAATACAGAGTCCATCCTTTAAAATGCTTTTGCTTACTTGCCATCCTAGCTATCATACTTAGGAACAGAGGAATGTCTCGGTCAGAGCAAATAATTTTGAGACAGTTTTTGCTCCTCTCTGTTATTGGACAGGTTTAACCACTGAATTCCTCCCACCTCTCCTGTCACCTTATCAGTTCTCTGAACATCAATGGCAGCTTTCTTCTTCCTCTTCTGATCCACAGCTTACTTGTGTATGTAAGCTACTGAATTCTATACTACAGTAATATCAGGTTACTTGCTAAATACAACAGCCTGCAGCTTACAGGATGTTAAAAAAGCAGCTCGACTTTTCAGCTTTTGATCATGTAGAACAAGGCAGTTTCCAGTTCCTAGCTTAAGAATCAAGCAAAAACAAAAATAACTGATTTCTGTAACACATCATCTCCAATTAATTAATACAGGAAAAATGGGGACTATTTCAATTCTGTATAAGATTGTTTATAGATTTACAGTACCTTTTGTATTTGACATTCAGCAAGGAGTAACCTGCACCTCCAATACACAGCGGATAGAGCAAATATGACAAGTATTTCATAGCCTAACAAACAATGAAAATAGTTTGTTAGCTTACATTTTATATACAGCAGATTTGTCATGGCATTAACTAGAAGACAGCCACATAATTTTTTTCCTGAAAATCTTTTCTTATTTCCAAGTGTCTACTATTATTTACAATATGCTTCCAGTTCTAGAGAAGGTGGTGAAAATTCCAATGCTCAGTTCAGACCACCAAGGCCCTTAAAGCACAAGCAACAAGAGGCAGGATGAAGATCAGAGTCTAAGAGTAGCTATCTGCTTAACTTCCTGATTTCTTCAACTCCCTTCAGAAACCAGGAAGCACATGAAGATTCCTCCAGGATAAATAACAAGTACAAATACAAATTTTCAAATTTGTGAATGAAGACCCTTTAAGATATTTCTCTTCAGATAAGTCACTTGCAATTCTGCTTCTCAAGAGAAATGTTTCAACCGGATTCAGCTAGCAAACAACTCCTTCACCATTTCTTTTCATAAATTACTAGAATGAATCTTCACTATCTGATCATCCACTTGACAACTATGAGAAAATGGAAAATGCACTTGTAGCAATAAAGAGTGAAACAAGTCAAACAGCGGGCCACATATACAGGCTTTATAGATCAGAAGTCACAGGATTTCCTCTTACCTGGGTATCATACTCCTCAGTTTTCTTTTCAGAGTCAGTGTATGTACCAAACTGCAATACATACAAAATGTACAATCAAGTCAGAACTGGGGGAAAAAGCACTTGCTGTCCAACTCCCTAAACATAGATTTAAACTGCAAACTAAACTGCTTAGACATTAAGCTAGGTAACAGTTCAAACTTCTTACAAGCTTCTACACAAGAGAATCGTATAAATGTCCTGTGCAGCCTGCCAAATACAGGGTAGGCAAAAAATTTAATTTTTCCCTTCATATTTTACACTAAACATCCAGCACTTCTTTGCTTAGGAAAATGCTGCTGAGACAGCAGAGTTCACAAAGCAAAAGTAAAGTCAAGTGGCTAAGAATTTGGCAGATACAGAAAGCCATTATGAAAAGCAATAACCATTTTCATGCATGAAGAGGTCAGTTACGGATTATCTCCACATCTCCAGAAACCGTGACTGCTTAAACACAGTTCCTTGAATATTGACAAAGGAACAACCAGAGCTACGAGCCACTCAAGATGCATAGACTTCGAGCAGCACAAAACCCCAGTACTCTTTGTGAAATAAACAGTGAAGATTAGACAACTGTTCCTCCTATCAACAAGGGAAACTTTCAATGTAGATTGTACTTTAAAAAATGTTCATTTGAATCCCACCTGTCTCTGCATGTCCTGCAAACAGTCTCAAGACTTAAATTTTTACCCAGAGGATTTGTCAAAGACTGTTCTGTCCCCGGAACATGTCACGTCTTCTACTAGTTCCACAATGGAGAAGTTATACCTATAGCTTCATGAAAAATTCACTTTCTTTCTTCAAATCGTGATAACAGCTAAGAGTGCCCTTCCAACACAGTGGGAGGAGCACAGTCCCACCTGTTAAGATTTAGCAGGACTGAGAGGAGTTGTGAAGTTTCTCACACCATAAATACACACAAATAGCTTTTCCTTCTACAGAATTCAAAGAAATTCTTAAGTTTGATAATGCTCATCCAGCTTTTGCATTAGGCTATCAATAAAGAGAAGGTGTACATAGTAAACTTTTATAGTTTTTTTTAATCTTCATTTAACTGAAAGCCAAGTTGCACAGTAACCTGGAAACAGATTGAAAGCTCAAGAGTGTAATCATTAACAGGCCAATGTCTACTATACCTGAATTTTGGGTCTCAAGCCTTGCCACTTGATTGTCATTTTCAAAGCCTTCTTCACTTTCCAGAGCTGTGATTAGCAAAACCAAAATGTGCACATAAAGAATTATCCAAAGGAATGTCTTAAGCAGGATTCAGATACTCAGACTCAAGACCCCAGAATATCTATTTTAAGCACCCACTGCATAAGGCAGCAACAGCATGATGGCAGCACATTGCCTGCATCTCTGTACAAACCAAACGCTGTGTCACCAGACAAGTACAACATCGGAGGCATGTGCTATTAAGTCTCCATATCAGAGGATGTACTTTAAGTGAAATAATGTAGTCCTTCCAGGATATCTGGACTGCAGCGCTTAGGTGGGGGTTAGCTGCTCTCAGCACCAGCATGCACCCCAGGTCAAGCATTTAGAAAATTCTCCGGTAACCACCTGCCAAGCAAGTTTTCACATGCCTTCATGCCTTCGAGGTCAGATGGGATCTGCAAGATGAAGGTGCCTCAGAACTCCTAACAGTAATTAAGTGGGCACTTACGTGATCATTACATTTCAGTAGTGGGCTACAAGCAAAAGTCAGTGAATCTACTGAAATGCTTGGCTACTTACTGTACAGCTGCAACAGGCTGACCCTAATGTAACCAAAGGTTCAGTGTACCTGAAAATTTACTCATGTACGCACCCTGCTATACAGATTCAACAACTTGGGCAATGCAGTAAGCTCACTAGGAGAGCTATGCGCCATGAAAGTTTTTGTGGACAAGGTTTGTTTATTTAACTTTAGATACACCAGTAGTCTCTTCTCACCCATCATAACTTCCAAACAACAAAGTGCAATATGGTAAAGACAATCCCTTACTATCATCTTTGATGCAAGTGTAATTACTTATTACTTCTGTAATTACTTATTACAGAAGCAACGTCACTATCAGTAGTGCATGAGAAACAGGTGTTCAGAACAAGTTGTGAAAAAGCTCTTCCCAGCAGACAAACTACTTCGAGATGTATAGTCCTTATGTTCATTCTCACCTTGAGACAACTATGTTATCTCACCATCACTTGAGAGGAGAGATATGTTACTTCAACAGAACCTGCAGAACATTTCCCGTCCATTTAAGTGTCCCACACAGTGTTCCTATATAATCCTTTCAACCCAGTTCCCCCAGCCTTCAATCCAAAAGCAACATACTGGAAAATGAGGCACATGAGAAAGACGACAGAAGCCAAACAGTCCTAGGGACTACAGATCTGAGAGAGATGTATTTAACAAATCTTTGGGCAGCTCCAAGAAGAATCTCAGACAGGCGCAATGACTAAATGAGATCTGGATCTGCCTGTGCTTAGGTACTGGCAACTGAGAAATCCATCTTCATTATGAAAGAGTAATGCAGAACCTTAGCAGTTTTAACTGAACTTAAATCCTGTAGCACAGCTGATCATTCCTGTTACCCTACTGTACATGCCTGATCTGGTTTCCACTAAAACTTCTTTAAAAAAAAAAAAAAAAAAGTCATTTAGAAACCAGGGCTATTTCTTCTTCCCCACTAGAAACAAACAAAAGCATCATTTTTCTTGACCTGATACATTTTTAAATCATTAGACACTTCTGAATTTCTGAAGTCTTTAGATTTAAGGATTTTTTAAAATTTAGTTAGGCTCAAAACAAAAGATATTCTACAAAAGGAGCAGTATATTTATACAGATATATATTTATCCCTGAAACTGTTAAAATTTCAGACAGCTAAAGAAAGTTTGAAATATAAGACTAAATTTCTATTTATAGGAACAAAACCACCAGCAAATCTGACACAGAAAACTTAATACACAGAAATACATCAGACTTAAAATTCTAAACTTACTGAAAAATAATGCTAGTCAATTAAATGGTACTACTTAGTACACTACTGTTCATAGTTTTTGCAAGACCTTAATCTGTCTTATAGAATAAGCTGAAATGTAAGGAATGCTTTGTGACTCTGCATTCAACAATGTAATCACTAACTAAAAATTCTGAACCGTTTTGTTTCCACAGGGATTATCTGCAACTATAACAGATGCGTAGTCAAAAATTTCATATGAGAGTCCTGAACTTATTTTTAAATATGGAGAAGTAATTACATCTGCAAGCAATGCTAGGTAGAGAGATCTCCCCATTACTGCCAACTTTGAGCTTTACTACACGTAAAGCAGGCTTCTAAGCAGTACCTGCAAGCCACTGACTGGACATGATCTGCTGGAATAATGAACACAGGCAGCAGTCTGCTCCTTCCCCAAGCACCTCAGTCATGCCCAGGAAGAAAGCTGCAGACCTGCGGCACTGCTTGATGGCACACCGCCTGCTCTTTGACAAATGTTTCTGTGAAGGCTTGTTGACATAGTTATACATGCCCGGTCAGGAGCAATGACTATCAGATGATGTGGTAGGAAGTAACTTAAGCATAGCTCTATGTTTGGTTTCCACAATACCAGCTGGCCCATCCCAGAAAGAGAAAGATACTTCCAGTTTAGTTATTTGATAAAGGGACACAATCTCCTCTGCCACTGAAAGCCAGTTAAACAATGCTGCTAAGACAGCATACTACAACAGCAGTATTTTCCCAGTAACTAGTTTAGCATTCTTTTTCTACAATAAACTATGGATGTTGCTGTGAATACCGGTATTTGGTTCTAGAGCTTTAAGAACTCACCTCAATCACTGCACCAATGCCTGCTGGGATCAGTACCAATAAACTTGTTTGTTCATCCAAAAGGAAAAGAAATATTACCACAGTACTAAAGCACCGCCAAAGCACTAGATAGAAAAAAAACCAAACACGAAAGGCTTATTAGTATTTAAATGAACAGCTGAGACAACAGAAGACTGTTGGCCTATTTAGTATAATTCTGCCATACATAGTTTAAGCATGAACTTTGCCTATATACATCTTGATATAGCAAGTAGTCCTAGAAACAGCTAGTGATCTGTATACTTCCAGGCAAATAAGGAACAAAAACATTTTATGAAATCCTTATCACAAAAGATGAAAGAAAATCAATATTTAAGGAAGACTTCTGCACTGCAGCCATTCAGCAATGTATCAGTACTATTATGAACTATGTTCATGATTCTTGTCTTGAGGAAGCTGAAAGGCTGTGAGGTAATGTAACGTCAGTCTTTGAAACTCATGCAACTAATTTAATGTTTGCAAATGTTAAGTAGTATATTTTAGGGTTATTTTTCAGGTTTTGCAAAACCTTGGATCCTTATAATTGTCTACCAGCTAATTCTTGGATTTGAATATCCATGCTCCTAAGCAGGAACAGAAAGAGAGAAGAGCTACAACACACTCGGGCATCAACAACTACACTGTACCGTTCCAGAGCAATTGCCTGTCACACTTCTCCCTCAGGGCACGAAGGAGATACAGGCAGAAAGGTGACTAAGGCTTGCTAAAGAGAGGATGAAACCATCAATTACTGGAGACTGAAGATTGGTGTTTTGATAGTAAGGTTAAAAAACCCTTTGTCACTCAGTCTTTCCAATTTGACTTTACTCACTTTTTAAACTGGTAATTAACACTTAATTCTGAAATTTCATGGACCATTTTGAATTTTAACTACCTTTTTGGTGTACATATGCCAACAGCAGTATAAATGCCTTACAAAAACAAAGGCACTCCGATGAAGACAGTAAGCAGATTTTCCACATGGGACTTGCAGGACAGCATTACCCATGACAGCACGTTCTCTCCACCCAAGGGACTTTTTTTGGTCCTCATTCTTTTCTCAAAGTATTTTTCTGTTCCTTCAGCAGAGGAAATCTGGTGACTGACTTAGTAATAAACTTACTCTCAATTGTAAGACAGTCAAACCTCAGAAGTGGCACGAGTGTGTAAAAGCAAGTGATACTTGAGCACAGTGCCAACAAAGTTAGAACCAGCCTGTTAGCCATCTTCTTTTCATACACACACACATCTCATTTTGCCATTTTGGTGAATCTACAAAGTTTCAACTTAGAGTAAGACTAAAACCACACAGTATATATTAGATAGCATACCCACAACACTTTGCATTTTGGCCCATACCTGCTTTTGTAGACATCCCAATCATGCTCCTCTTTTTCTTCCAAAAACTGATGTCATTTTTGAATGCAAGGAAATCAAAGAGAAGCTGCAAATAGCAAGAAACACACTCATTTGTTCAAACGTGCACTAGTTAAAGACTACTAGCTGAACTGTTAAAAATGCATTTAAGATGCAATTGCAAGAAAAAACTGGTTTAGAAGTCTCAGAAATAAAAATTAAATACCATAATTAAAAGCTAAAAAGAAAAACTCTTCGAGAAGCCCAAGCTCCAAAAGCAGTGTAAAATGACAGGAGGAATTCCAGGTACTGCTACTACTACAATACTGCATCCAGTAAAGAAAGGCAGTGACCCACTACAGGGTAACACATGATAGAGGATGAAGAACTGGGGACCCTGAGGAATTGCTCACCTCCTTGACAGACCAGGGAAAGCCACACTAAATTAGATTCAAAGTGCTTTGTATTGGATCGGTAGTCAATTTAGGCTTGGATAGTACCAAAGGTTTTCAAAAATTCCTAAAATACAGCAAGTCATTTTCTCCTCTCTGTTTCATCACCAAGAAGTTGATCTGAACTTCAAGGACATTTTAGCATTAACTTTATTTGTATTGAGTATTTTTTCCAGAATTTTCAGTATTTTTGTTCAGAACAGAATAGAACAGTTCAGTTGGAAGGGACCAACAATGATCATCTAGTTCAACTGCCTGACTGCTTCAGGGCTGACCAAAAGTTAAAGCATGTTGTTAAGGGCATTGTCCAAATGACTCAAACACTGACAGGCTTGGGGCATCGACCACCTCTCTAGGAAGCCTGTTCCAGTGTTTGACCACTCTCTTGGTAAAGAAATGCTTCCTAATGTCCCGTCTAAACCTGCCCTTGCACAGCATTGAACCATTCCCATGCGTCCTGTCACTGGCTCCCAGGGAGAAGAGATCAGCACCTCCCTCTCTACTTCCCCTCCTCAGGAAGCTGGAGAGAGCAACGAGGTCACCCCTCAGCCTTCTTTTCTCCAAACTAGACAAGCCCAAAGTTCTCAGCCTCCTCACAGGACATGCCTTCCTGCCTTTTTACCAGCTTTGTTGCCCTCCTCTGGACGCATTCAAGGACCTTCACATCCTCCTTGAATGGTGGGGCCCAGAACTGCACACGGTACTCATGGTGAGGCCACATCAACACTGAACACAGCGGGATAATCACCTTTTTTGACTGGCTGGTTATGCTGTGCTTAATGAACCCCAGAATGTGGTTTGCCCTTTTGGCCACCAGAATATTTTTCAGTATTTCCTTTAAGCATTCACTGTCTTAAGAAAAAGCAGCACAGATTCAAGAAATTCTTGGGTCAGAGAATTTTAATGAAAAAATGTATTTTTTTAATTTAGGCAAGTGATACACACAAAAAAATATCAGAAGAGCTAGTCCCAGCCTACAGATATCTTACAACTTAATAAACAGAATGGAAAAAAAAAACCCTTAAAAAGGCTAGGAAGTCTAAGGGTTTCCAACCAAATTACATGTATGTAATGTAAGTATAAAGAAACATAATATGCCCAGCAAGTTCTTATCTATCCCAGAATATAGGAATTATATTGAGAGTAATTGTAAATGACAAAGATGTTCAAAATAGAACAATGAAGTCTAAAAAAATTATTCATTAAAACAAAGATTCATACTTAAACTAAGACACACACAATCCTGACAGAGACACAACAACAAACCACCATGCCTAGAGCCACAAGCTCTGCACTTTACAGTGACAATTTTTTTGAAGTAATCTAGAACAGCTGATCTAAATTTCTCCAGGGGTTAGAAGTCAGACTCAAACCCTACTGTTGGTGCCTGAGCTATGCCACTGCAGCAGTAAACTTTGTGACAAAGTTTAGCAGAAAATGTGAACCAATGTTGACAGGCGTATTAATTCTGGGTGCTTTGGTTCAGGAAAAAAAAAAAAAAAAGAATATTATAATGAAGTTAAATGTTTTATATTTCAGTCAAGACTGTTTAGTTTATACCTAGTTATCTCATATTTCTATCTTTGAGATTTTTGTATAAACTTCATATTGGAAATACACCTGACTTGTACCAAAAAACCTCTTCTGTCACTCTATTGAAATTACTGTTTCCAAGAACAGTTCCCAATAAATGAAAGAGTTGAAGTTCAACCAATGCCCAACCCCTTTATTTTTATTTCATATGCTGTAATTCCTAAAAACCAAAGTTTCTCCACTTACATGAAATGCTGCTACGAAGAATGTCAAAGCCAGAAAGTACAGGTTAGTATCAACAAAAATTCCTTTTACTTCATCTGCATCCTTTTCTGAAAACCCTAAGAGAAAGAAGAAGTAATTACGCAAGAAGTACTAGACAGTTAATTGCTGTTATGCTAGAATCTAGTATGAATCTTATTTCACCTGCATGTTTTATTAAGGAATTATAAATCCAAAACAAGATGCAGCTCTATTGGTAAAACCCAAGTCTACCTATATTTTGGCTAGTTATTTGGCTTGCCTTAAACAAAACCTATCACTTACAAGCAGACTGATAGGGCTTTAACGTGTTGTGTAACTACAACCAAGCTGAACACCAGCTGGCCTGAGTGGGAAGAAAATTATTCAACTTTGTCTCTGAGCTTTTATTTGATACATAAGAAAAGTGAGTTTCACATTAAAAACCGAAAAATGAGAAAAGGACTACACTGTAGAGGACAACAAAGGTCAGTGGGAAACATGGCCATATATGCAACTGCCTAGACCCCACATCATGGATTAGGCATCAATTCTTCTGACAGTCCTTGCAGAATTAACTTGGAAGCTTCTCTGTGATAAATGGAAAAAGGCAAAGCATCTTCCAGAAATCACAATCTGTAAGCTGAACATATATTCTCTACTGTC